AGAGAGAGAGAGAGAGAGAGAGAAAGCACCAGAGAGAGAGAGAGAGAGAGAGAAAGCAAGAGAGAGAGAGAGAGAGAGAGAGAAAGCACCAGAGAGAGAGAGAGGAGGGAGAAGGCGGTGGTACAAAAATGAGATAGGAACAAATAATGAGTGTGAGCATTGTTTAATAAACCATGGAGACTCGCGTAAGCAGATTGGCACGAGGCTGAGACGATTTCGTGAACGGGTATATAGCGGATGTTATTAGAACAGATGCGGCGCATAATATCTACATGCGTAGACAACTACGTATTCCATCGCCGATCTCTGCATATACAAGTAAATTAGTTGCAGCCTAGCCAAACAGCCGATTGTTGGTTTGCTGTGAAGCCCTCCCAAGTCAGTAGTCTTGTGCGGAGCGACTGATGCTGATATCATGCCGGACGACAGGAGAGTGTTTATTTATTAAACGATGTACGTGTTGATACTGCGGCGATAATGGGCCGGCGGAGACGAAACAGCACATCGTTACTAACGCTACGCTATAATCACAAGAGTTCTCCGCCTGCAAGCATTCCGCACGATCTCTGCCTGCCCACAGAGACACGGGAAAATCGCAATATTACTGTGTACGGCTCGTCTTCGTATAACTACCGCATAATTTACGGTTGAGCTGGCTCTATTATTTAACCCTATCCGAAGCTATATTTACTGCAGATGAAGCCTATATATATCTGTTATCATGAAGTAGTAAGTAATACATGTATCATTAGCTATTGATGTTATGTTCATTGTATGATCAATTCAACGCAGACCACAGGAACTCATAAAGCTATCCCTGCGCGATATAAAATTAATGAATGCACGGTATTTACCCGTGTAAATTTATGTTTATAAATTAATAAAGACATATAGTTTATTATTATATAATACCGCGTGATGTGTGTGGCGGGAAGATTTTGGGCTGACGTATTATATATCGCCTGCAGCGCATATTATAGACGATCACATTGCCGTAGATTTCAGCCTGGCTATATCATTCCAAGGAGCGACTGACCACCTGTTTATATCTTACTTTCAGGGTGAAGGCATCGTTCTCCTGCCAAATGCAGCTCAGCGCCTATCCGTTTGACACGCAGAATTGCCAGATTGAACTCGGCAGCTGTACGCATGCGCAATTTTCACTCTTCGTTAGACTCGTGTTTCGTTAATTATTACATAGTTCGCGATTATAACACGTGCCTAGCAAAGGGCACAATCATTAAATTACGATATAGCAATTTGACATTTCCTACTTTAATAAGTTTAGGTTATTAATTATTGAGATGATTATTTATCGCGCTAAATATTAATTCGCAACATTGATAACGCACTACATTTAATATAATTATTTTCTAGTCGGCTACACAAACACGGAACTCGTTTTTTTATGGAAACCGGATGCGCCGTTTACAATCAATACTGCAATAAAACTGCCTCAGTTCAAGTTGCGTGATTATATCCGCACGGAAATCTACCAAACCGCACATTACACGGGTAAGCAAATACTAAATGATAGAGCGATGGCATGATATTCGTTCACAATAATATATTCACTCTCGTGAATATAATTTTTGGTAATGTGCATGCATACGTGAACAGATTCACGAGGACCTTCGAGTTTTGTTTTCCTGAGTGAGTGAGCGCGTGCGTGCGCGCCTTCATGGTTGGGTGAGTATTATGTGCACGCAGGTAGACGGATTAACATGAACTAGACGTGTTTTATCGATTACGCCAGGTAAATTCAGCTATTTACGGGCTTACATCAAGTTTGATCGAGACTACGAGTATCACGTGACGCAGAGCTTGATGCCATGCGTCTTTCTCGTGATCTGCTCGTGGGTATCCTTCTGGCTCGACTCCGAGGCAACGCCGGCCAGGGTTGCTCTTGGTGAGTGCGCGTTCATACTACCTTTCTCGAGCAGTGAGTGTGTGTGTGTGTGTGTGTGTGTGTGTGTGTGTGTGTGTGTGTGTGTGTGCGTGTGTGTGTGTGTGTGTGTGTGTGTGTGTGTGGGGTGTGTGCGCATGCCCTTCCGTGTGTGTGAGAGATAGCGAGCTAGCCGAGCTAGCAGAGCGAGAGAGCAGAAAGAGAGAGAGAGGGAGAGAGAGAGAGTAGATGTGTGGTGTGTGTGTGGGGGGGGGGGTGCGTGCGTGCGTAAGTGCACGTGTGTATGTGCTTACGCGTGTTCATGCCTGTATATCAGCCCCAGACATCTGTCAGTAGGTGCGCGCATTCGCATGCCTGTCCCTGCGTGCGTCCATGCATATATATGCACGCATGCGATGAAGGAAAAGTTGCCTAGAACAACATTGATGCAGTCGTCTACTGCACTTGCGAGGTCATCTACGTCCCGATGGTGAATGATGGGTGTCCGTGAGGTGTGAATGAGCTTGTGCGCGGCGTGCATGGGGAGGTCTGGTGGCTGCAACATGTTCTGCTTGTATCTATGAAAAATACGACATACGCATACACGCTCTCTTATGACACTATTTGTCATAGGAAGATTCTTCCTATGAAAAATATTGGGGAGTCAACTTCATTCCTCTTTACAGCTGAAATTCACTGCTTGAGTTCATAATAGCGCTCCTAAACTCCTATGATGCGCACAACACATGCAACAATATTTTGTCATAGAAAGACAAATAGTGTCATAGGAGAGCGTATATGCGTATGTCGTATTTGTCATAGATGCGAGCAGAACAGGCTGGGTGGCTGTAACATCACTGTGGCTACACTACTGCGTTCTCTCTTACGTGCACTACTATATACGCGCCCTCTCCGTGTCGCTACAGGCGTGACGACGCTCCTAGCCATCTACACGCAGAGTGCGGCCGTGCGCTTCAGCCTGCCGCCCGTCTCCTACCTGAAGGCGATCGACATCTGGTTCCTCATCTGCGTCGTGTTCATCTTCGGCTCGCTCATCGAGTTCGCTCTCGTAAACTACTTCACGCGCCGATCGCTGAAGAACCCCGCGAAACATGTACGGAGCGGTTCATTCACAGATCTTTCAGTAAGAACACGCGCTCTTGCGAGAGAGAGAGAGAGAGAGAGAGAGAGAAAAAAAAACAAGGGCGTTTAAAGAAACTAGTCATCACTACTGAAATAATATATCAACAACTTTTTGTAAGAACATCGATGCTATCACTAAAACGATTGAGCCGCACTAGAAAAGTGGTGAGTGTGATTTTATTGTAAAAGTGATGACTTATTACAAAGGTTGGCAAGTGTTTATCACCAAAGTCCCGACTTCGTATAATAGCAGTTAATGTGTTATGTGAAAATGGCGAGTTTTTCCAAAGGCAATTTTTTTATTGATGTGGTCGTTACCCCTTCCCACGGGTACTGAGCTAGTTTCGCGTAAAACACTCGCAAATTTCTGGCAAAGTCACCCGACTTTAAAAACCAATTCTATTTTGACACGAGCAAAAACCGTTGATACCGTTTTACCTCGGTGATTCATAGTTACATGGCTTGACTAACCGATGCGCCTGTAAGAGGCATGTTTGGCCACCGGTGTCACTTTCCCCCGGGCGTAGAGGGAAGGTGCCGCTACGTGGCAGCACTAGTGTTAGGATTAGGGTTACAGGCAGGGTTAGAGTTAGAATTAGGGTTATGGTTAGGCTTCAGGAAATAAGGCCATGTCTAGCATGGAAGTATGACTGTGGAATGACGGAACTGTACGAAGTGACTAGTGCTGCCACGTAGCGGCACCCTCCCTCTACGCCCGGGAGAAAGTGACACCCCTTGGCCACATAGAAAACTTGATAAACGTTGTGAGTAATCGAAAAAGGTCGGAGTTAATGTGATGATATAAGAAATAATTTAAATGCTAAACATCTTACTGATCTGAGTATATATTCATGTTCCATTAACGTTCGTGTTTTCCAAAATTCAGGGACGCTAAAATCTCCCTATTATGCTAAAATTAGAGAACGAAATAAAAATAGCACAGTCTAATACATTAGCTTGTTTCAGAAACAAAAGCTTTGTTATAGAAATAGATACCGTTACAGAAGTAAAACGGAACGTAATACATAACAGATTAAAGATTCGCGCTTCGATGAAACGGGTGTACAGAGACACCTAGCGGAAAAGCTGTTCACGAACGGAACCACTGTAACTTGTCTATTAGATTATTACGAAGCTCGATTTTGACGGCCATAAATCTCGTCTGTCTCGATGCTTGCTTACACATAATTCAAGTCTAGCATTATAGCATTTATTGATCCACATTATGTAACGCAGAGCGATGTCTACAGAGCTAGATGTACTCTTGGTTGGTATAAGAACCCTCACATTATTGTCACTCGATTTTAGATGAAACAACCGTCACGAGCGAGCGCTGAGATCGACGCAGAGCGTACCGCGGATGGCGACGTTAAAACTCATCTCACTCGCAGACTCACCACGGTAAAGAAACGATTCAAGAAAGTCATCGACGAAGACAGAAAGAAGGCAAAGACAATCGACGTCGTCTCTCGGGTGCTCTTCCCCGTTAGCTTCCTCGTGTGCATCCTCGTTTTTTGGTGCGTTTACTACGTGAACAACGACGACCAGTAATCGATGACGATATAGGACGCTATAATCCTGCAGCATCTTGGCAGAGGCGATCCGTGGTAGAGTCTCTCTTCACAGAGGGATTCTGTGTATTCGGTCATAATGGTCCCCTCTATCGTTTTTGCTTAAAATTTCATCGACGTTTTAATGATTATATTACGTTACGGCACGTTTTATTATATTATTTTCTAAGACACTACTCTATTTGCCACGGATTCACACCCAGGTTACTTGTCATCTATAGTCAATTTTGTACATTAGTTACACGTTTACCTATACACTATATAATCGATATTGCGTTTGGACGCCTGTTGTAACTCTGAAGAGTCATTATTGTTCAGTAAACATGTATATATTCTACATACACATCTAGGTTTCTTTTGCATAAGATGGTGCATGCATATGACAGCGTTACGTGCTATGAGTTCCTCGCTATAGAATAATTATACATACAGCATGTATATACGTAACTAGACCGACCAACAAAGCACTTCCTCCATGGAAGCACTTTCCTTCGTCTATCCTGTAGCACGTGTATATAACAAGGTTAGGCTGTTTCTTGTGGTAGCTCCTTCCTGCGTGTACATACTGTTACTGGTACCGATATAAGCAAACGGGTAAACACGAGCAGTATAACGCGAAGTGGGCGAAGTCCTCTTCCCGGAAAGGTGCGGTGGCTGACGCTCGCACGCCAACAACACACAGAGGTAAGCCCCTATCGGCATCTGTTACATGCGCGACAATATCACAGGGTGCGGGAATCGCGCATAGCGAATTTACAGGACGGTCGCGAGCGAAAGAACGAGAGAGAGAGAGACGACAATCTCGCGCCAAATCACTTGCGGAATATATAACATCGAAGGACCCTGGCCAGCGATGGAGCAGCTAGAAGGTACGAGCGACTATATAGGTACGATTCTGCGCGATTATATGTAGGTCACGTCTATTTACACACAGTAACAACTAGCTATAATAACGCATCGTGTAAGCAAACATTTCCATTCCTAACACCAGGAGCAGTATGCGCGCATTCGTGTCATTACGGGATAAACGAAGGTGTTTGGTATATATATACTGATGCATATATATATATCAGATATACACTGAACTGTGTGTGAACGTGAGAAGGCTTTTCGTAAGCGATTAGCTTTGAATGAGGTAAGCACTGCTCTTTACTACGACTATCATCAGTGCGTTGTAGTAGTATAACAATACTTATATATACATTTTATGTATTCCCATCGGTATTTCCCAGTTACCAACTTTACATTCTGAATTGTACCGACTTGATTATATATATATATATTTAAATAAATAAATGAATAAATAAATAAATAAATAAACATATATTTACATACATAACCTAGTCGGTGCGATTCCGAATAAGATGACAACAATTCAGGTTAAGATAAGATTTAAGATATAAATTTCTATGAATTCTCCCACCGTTTGAGTGCAACTTGTTACGCAGCGCCTTAATAGCGCGCGCAGGTAACAGAGTAAAGGTACGCATAATCTCACCATACGCGATGAGATGAGCTATGCGGACCCGTAAACGTGCCGGCATTCACGCACACAGCATTTACACTGACAGACCTTACACGCACTTCATGCCGAATGCGTTCTACACGCCCCCGATGTGCGCTGTGCTCGCTCATATACCTGCTTGTAAGGTCAGCTCTATCCAGTTTTGCCCTCGGCAGCGCCTTAATAGTGATAATCGCGCCTGTGACGGCCTTTATCTTCTTCACGGGCACCAAACACCGGCCACGATGAATGACCAGCCTCCCCATACTCGTCTGTCCTGTGTCTGCGTTACTGAGACCTTGTTGTGTACCGCACCGCTCCTGGGAATGGTGGGGTGCATGCCGTGCCGGTGATCAACCGCGTTTGTAAGAGCGTCTGTGTACATGCAGTTAGTTTCTGTGGTTTATCGCGAGTGTTGCGCTCTTTTTGAGCAGTGGTGTTCGGCTGTTGAAGACGGAGTCGTGTTGCTCGTGCAGTGGCGTACGACGGTGGAATTACCTTAGCAACCAGAAGTTAGAAATGACGGTTTAAATCGTTGTTTGAAAATCTATACAGTATAAATAAGGCTTGATATCTAATCAGTATCGATGAGTGCAAGGCGATTGGCGATTGGCATTGTCCACTCAGTACGGAGTGGCAGTTATTTCCAGCAAGAATACACACACACACACACACACACACACACACACACACACACACACACACACACACACACACACAC